GACTGGCAGAAAATTTTGTCGGGCAAGTTCATCTGCTTCGCGTAGTCGGACTTGCGCGTGGAATAACATTCGCCGCGTTGGCTTTAACGACGCGTTTCGGGGTAATTTTCTCGGTTTTCTTTTCTTCTCCAAAAAATAGATCGACCCCTGCGAGGGGAAAATTGTGGCGACAAATTCAACCGTCTCGCGTTCAGGCTTGTAGATAAAAAATTTGTAACACGCGCTTATTTTGCAGTGCCGCCGTTATTTCGCCGTCGATCTTTATTATTCGGAAAGTTCCGGCGTGCCATCGATACGATCGATCGACAGACGACATCTTATCTCGGAACTTAGATAGGTGAGCGTAAACATTCAGCCTTGCCGATAGGTATGAAAGAAAAGCGGCCAAGGGAACGGCACGTTAATGGATTAACCTCAACCATTACATTGTCGCTCTCGGATAATCGCGTTTGAAGTTGAAAGTGATGAAACTATCTGAAATTTCCTCGCAAAACTTTTGGATAAATAACTGCGTAATATTTTCAATTGATCCACCGGTTCGGAATTGCAGAATAAATGATTTTATACGTTATTTAAGATTTTAGACGACAGCACGAGAAAGCCTGTAGCGTCTAAGTAAACTCGAGTTATATCGTGAATCCGCAATATTGCGCAACTTTCGTTCCCCATTTAACGTTACGCCGAGAAAAAAAATATCGATTTAAATCAAATAGATGACATACGTTGAAATCGTGTTTCTTGAAATTTACTAAATTTTTATTTACTTGTGCTAAAACATTTGCTAGATTTGAAGAAATGCATATGCGCACTTTTAGAGATTCCAGCGAGAGGTAAACCGCTGAGGGCATTGTGGTGTACAGGTTTGCGGCATTACTGGTCATTGCTATAGCAAATGCTATAGCAAAAAATGCCTATAGGCCACGCATACCCCTTTAGGAATGTAGCCTTCCAGATGGGAGGTTTTCTTCGGCAAGGTTTAGCAGCCTACTGAAGATGAAGTAAAACCAAATGCTCGGAATACCAGAACGAACTGGATAAAACAGACTTTAAGCCTAATTCACGAGGAAGAAGGTTTGCCCCTCGGATTTCAGTCTCAATCAAATAAAATTTTGGTTAAGGTAAAGAAATATTTTGTTTTAGATTAAATAGAAGTCTAGTAAGGTCAAAATTCAAAGAAAATTTGTTTGATTGCGAAGAAACTTGTTTTCTGGGTGTATAAAGCCCGTGTCACACTAGGTATTGCGGATGGCAGATCACATTTCAGCCAATCAGACGAGACAGCCTCGGATCCGATGGATTGAATTACGATCCGCAATCTCAATCCGATTTACGATCTGCAATACATAGTGTGACACGGGCTTTACTCGCAGTTTCCAGCAGCGTCAGTTGATAGACTCCGGGATCCCGACGTAGAGATTGCGTTCTTTGTACACGTCGGAGAATCCGAAAATTACGTTTAACGGTCGTTTTTTAGCGTCGGGTAACGTTGCTCTTTTTCCCATATTTCCCCGTCTTTTGCATATCCATACGAAATTTTCGTTCTTCCCCCGCGTTTTCTGCCGCGGCGATGGACAGCAGCGAGGCTCGAGAGGCCCAGAAGTGGCGTGTTTTCGCCTGCTGCTAACGGCACGCGATTTACAATGGCGTTTGATTGGGATGTACCGTTCGGACTCGGAACCGGCCGGGAGTTTAGGATTGCATTGTGTCGCTGCGATGAAAACGCGCGGTTTGTTTGTCGTCGAACGCCCACCCGCGTTTTTCTCGCCCGTTTTCAACCGCGTTCCGTTTTAATAATCGCGAGAACTGTATAATAAACCGAATCGGCGCTCATGTGCCAGCCCTCCGCGCATAACTTTACATATTTTGCGCTCCCGTCGGGACAATCGGTCATTTGTAACGTTACGAATGGGTTAAAGATCGAAAGGTATCGTTTATCATAATTGCTTCAACTGTCGTTTCGCATCTTCAATCTTTTTAATTGCACAAGAGATACGGCTATCTAAGCTTGTTTCTCCCACCTCCCCCCCCAACTTTCATCTCTCCCTCTCTCTCTTTCAGAGAAACGCATAAAAATTCCCTTTTAATTTTCTGCACTACTTAACTTATCGCGGGGCTATAAATAAATTACGTCGCTTGTTTTAGAAACGCAGAGTGTAAACGCGATGTGCCGTTGCACATCGCCGGCGGGTCTCGGGCGAGGAAAAGGTATCGGCGCGTATTTTCGGTGCGACTTTTCGGGGCTGCACTTGCGCAACCGTCAAAACAAACGGACGTCGCGTAAGTTGGGACGATAAGTAGCGGTGTATGTTCCTCCGCGCGCGGCGCGATCTGATAACGCGTAGAGTAAATTAAAGGCCCCAGGAAGCCCCGCTATCTCGGGAGCGTCGGCATGCGCGATAAAAAACATGGTGCGCGGTACGCGGGAGTAATTTACAACGTACGCGACGGACAATGCGCGTTTTGCATTGAATGAAGCGATCTAATTTCCCCTCCGCGCCCCCGCGCGTTATACAATATGGGATAATGCGGCATTCACGTGCTCGCGTTTGTGGATTTGCGAAATACATTTTCGTGCTGCTCCGAGTCGGGGATGTATATATATAGCCCGTTGGAGTATCGGCAAACGCCGAAGAACCTCGTGGGCGCTCGACAAACGCAAGGCGGATGAAACGCGTGTTAATTAATTACGTATCGGGCAAATCGAATCGCATATGTAAGTGTTCCCGTGGTTGATAACGAGTTTCGTGGCTAAACGCGCCGGCGTGTACAATAAATACCGTCAAAGGTGCGCGGGGGCCTCGAATGCGGTCCCGAGACGGAGGTATTTGAATTACGTAGACTAACGTTGAAATTACATCGAAAGGTTAGACCGTGATCACGATTTAACGGATAAATTAATTTAGCGTCTCCGCAGAGAGATCGAGCGTCAGTATTAACCAATTTTCTGTATGCATTTTGTATGGGAAGAGAAACTGAAAGACGCTAAAATTATTAACGTGCAGTTGGTATCCTCTTTCTCTTAATTTCTTGCGTTTTCCCTTGAATTTGCGTGGAAATTTTTTTTAAAATTCATTTTTAGTTATTTCTTTACACCGAAGACGATCCGGAGTGGATCGAAACGTTTGTGTTTTACGTTCTATTATTAAATTGCCCGTGACTATTTTAAAGACCACGCCTCATTACCTGCGTACGGCTCGCATTGGCCTTTCCTACCTTCCACTTGTTTTTACTAAAATTATTAATCTTAGAAAATGACGCTTATAAGAGATACAGATTAGCCTTAGCGCGAGGGGAATAGTTTTAATTAAAATTCACTTAAAAGCCTAATTATAGTCCAATCGATTTTTCGATTGCGATCTCGAATGCAACGGAAGAAACCTGAATGCAACGTGTATTCAGTCGTACGCGACACAGAAAGTTTTAGGAGATATAAACAAGGTACATGTTTTTTTATCCCTCGGTGGCCTCGTAACCTTTTAATAACGCACTTTGAAGTTTCTGTGCTCCCCGCGTTCTTTAAGTCTACTCGGCTGTCCTTACCTCGTGGGCACGAGCGCACTCGGCTGTTCTTACGAATGGACATGAATAACGGTCAATTAGATGCGATAGGAAATCAGTTTTTACAAATTTTTACAAACTTTTACAAATTCGTCGATGGTGATAAACGCTTGTGTCGCGCTTAATTAAAAAATCGCCGAGTTACGCCGTGCGTACGGGCGCCCTCGTCGGTGGCGTCGTTCAAAAATTATCTCTTATCGTGAAAAATGTGTTTCCGCGCGCGATAAAGTCATTTGCGTACGGAATCGTAGACACTCGCGCCACTTTTTTTTTCAGACGTATAATCTCGCGTTTCCATGTCATTGGAGATATTTCCAGTCCCCTTCGATTAACCCTGGCCGTCTATCCCATACGGTTGCGCGCACACACACACGTACGGAGAGCTTTTTCTCCGCAGGAATACGAAGGGTTTGCGCTGCGGAAAAAGGGGAAAAAAACGTTTTTTTGGGCAACTTATACGGTTAGCTCTCGAGAAGGCTATCGAGTGTTCTTTGTTCGGCGAAGAGATGCATCTCCGTGGAGGATACCCGGGGCGGGACGCCGCGCGCGGAATGCATCGCGACGCGGCGCGGCGCGACGGCGTTTTTGCGGCGCGAGAACCGATCGAGAACCGCGCGCCGGACGCGCGACGCCGCCGTCGGCGTGTAAAGTCCGAAGTCGCTCGCGGAGAACGGAGGAGATATCGCGCGGGCGCGTGATACGACGTTTCGTACTTGATATCGTTCAAAGGTTAGGCATTTCCATTCGCGCCGCCCTTCATTGTGTCTCGCTGTCCAACCCGTCTCGCCTTCCGCCATTTACGCCGCGCTCCCTCGTTCGGTTCCTCGTTCGAGTATACAAAAGAACAACCGGAGCACCGGTTGGCGGCGAAGGGTGAGGGGGCGAGGAAGCCCAAGACCGTAAAGAGGCGGATGCCCCAGTGCTGCCCCGACGATCGTTGACGCGCACCGAAACACGGAAATATTTTTATGGTGCCGAGCGACGCGCCGGAACTTTTGTTCCCGCTACGCTTCTCTTTCTCTCTCTCTCTCTCTCTCTTTCTCTCTGTGTGTCTCTCTCTTTCTCTCGTCGTTGCCTCGATCCTGTCCCGTCGATTTCCCCCTACCACGCGCCCGCGCTTTCGACCCTCGCGCCGTATCCCTCCCCCATCCGTAGCTCCCGGCCGGAGAGTCGCGCCCCACCACTACTCTCTTTCTCTCTCTCTCCCTCCCTCCCTCTCCTCATTCCTCCGTATCTCGAGCATGCGAGCGGTAGAGAGACATGAATCGGCGTACGGCGCGGCCGTGTTTTCGAGCGAGTACGAGTGCGGCGGCCAGCGGTATCCGTTATTATCGTACGATCTGGACGAGAGCCGCCGTCGCTGTTGCTTCTTCTCTCTGCTGCTGGTAGGTTGGCAGCGTCGCGTCGCGTCGCGTCGCGTCGCGTCGCGTCACGTCACACGTGACAGCCATCGTCCCGGCCGCCGGTGTTCCTCTCGATGAAGAACGGCGAGCGATCCGAGGCGCGTGTGTCGTCTCCGTAGTAGCGAATTCCCCGAAGCCGACCGTCGCGTCGCGCCGGTGTGTGTGTTTTTGGTATCGCCATTTATCTTCGCCGACTAAGGACGCCGACTAAAGCGGCGGCCTTCCTGTTGACGTGCGCGTAAGCGAAGCGAGAGCGAAAGCGCGCGCCGATCCGCCACGTGCGATACGGCCGTGAAGGTGTGTTGCCCCGTGTTGTTTTCATGTTTACCGCGGAGGACCGCGCGCGTTGCGCCTACGATAGCGTCGGGCGTTATTGTATACACCACGCGAGACGGATCTCCTTTTCTCTGTCTCTGCCGACGAGGCCGCGGGACCACGCGGGACAGGCCCTCCCGATTAAACCAACGCCGAACCACGCCGCGACACGAGACCCGCGAACAGCCGCGAGTGGACAGCCCGCATTGTTTACCGTTCGTGCCGACTCGACGGAACGGAGTGGGCTTTGTTTTTCTCCTGGCGAAAATCAAAGAGCGCGAGTCACCGCGTATCAATCAGTTCACCCGCGTTAGCTCTCGTTCCTACCCCATACTGCACAAACAATGGACCGTGGGTCGTTAATAGCACACGTATCGAGCAACGAATTTCCGCGAATCGCGTATGCCGGGTCATGAATCATTAATGGCGCGTATAGTCTGGAGCTGGTTTTACGGAAGGACGGAGCGACGAGCGACGAGCGCCGGTCTACCCCGTCTTGTTTGCCGCTACACGCTGCTCCTTGTTGTGACTTGGTATATCATATTTTATGTATTTTCCCGTACATTTTGTACGCATCCGTATACACGAACGCCGTGCACGTGCGCCCGCGCTGGTTCGACGCGGCCGCGCTGCCGCTTAAGCTAACGCCACACTATGCGCCATTCGTGATTTGCGATTCGCAGAAATTTATTGGACATTCGTTATTCCCTACCACACTATTCGTGATTCGCAGTTTGTCATTCGTAACTTGTTATTTGTCGTTTCGCTCGCGTTAACTTAGACAATTTTTAACCTTAACCTGTTATCGCAGGATTTGTATCGTAAGCCTGCAATTAGTCAAGTTTCAATATTAGTCAGAAACCACTATTGTAAGCGTCTAACGATTCCGGGCCTAGAGAGGCCATATCGCGAAAGGTACAGAGAGGAGACGTAAACACGAAGGAAGGGAAATTCATGATTCGGAAGAGGGGAGAGCAGGATTTAGGAACCGTGTGCGAGCGGGTTTAGGGAGAAGAGAGTCGACTAGCGAGTGCGAATTACGCGTTTTCGGAGGTGAACGTACCAAGGAAGGCGAGCGTTATTGGAAGCGAGCGTGCTTCGAAGTCTAACTCCGGTGAGCGTACCGGGAGTCATCAGAGGAGAAAAGTGTATACGGGGTATTAATCCACGATTAAATAATAAAGACACTGTATTCGTTGAAAATCCGCAAGCTATCCAGAGAAAGAATCCTTACACTATTCTCGTCAAAAAACCCGCTCGGCTAGCGAATCACTGCGAATCGCGCGCGGCGAATCGACCAAGTTTTCCTTCACACTATTCACGAATCTCTCATAGTGTGGCGTTGGCTTTGGTAATAACGAATGTCCAGCGAATTTCTGCGAATCACAAATCACGAATCGCGCATAGTGTGGCGCCAGCTTTAGATAACAATGCCGGGCGCTGCGCAAAGTTTTACGCGCACGCGAGTGGTGATCTCTCGCGTGATGTATGGTAATCTGAGAATCGTGTATCGTAAACCGGCTATAAGTCTCGTTAACGTGACTGATCTCGGCCGAGTTTTTTTTTCCCCACCTTTTTCTCGCGACCCTGTCGGCCCGCGCGGACGTACGACGTATCCCCGGTTCTATTTCGCGTTCGCCGGATCGATGATAGATTCTCCCGTATGAATTAGTAATCTCCGTACGTTTTGCGGTTTATGCGCGCCGCGTCGCCACGTAAAACCGCAAGGCCGCGCCTGAGAGCCGTTTAACCGCGAATATTTACTATTTTATTATCACTCTGTCACCCAAGTCACCTAAGTCACCTATCTAAACTATAGTAACACGCGGTTATTCTCTCCGACCAACGCCGCGGCGGAACGTCAAGATAACGCGCGACTCATTCATTTGTTACGTAACGCGGCCGGCTCGCGTGAAACGAGCCGCGCGTCACGTACGGAACGTACAAAGCGATACGACGCTCGGGCGTCGTGGAACGGCGCACGTAGACGTGAAACGTTAAAAATCCTGCGCGGTACGTCTAATTAATTACGGACGCGGCACCGACGTCCCCGTAAATAGAGGCGAAAAAAAAAACCCTTCGGTTTATATATAGTCAAACTCCAAACGGGAGAGGACGCCGCGCCGCTTACGAGCTTACGGCCTTAATCGTTTGTTTACATAGCGAATCCGAGCTGCGCCGGTGCCAGGTGTCCACTCGAGAATCCTAACGTCGACAGTCGTTTTCCCAGAGAGAGCAGGCCGGAATTGTCTCCAGCCAATTTTGATCAACGAAGGGGGTGGAGGGGGGGGGGTCCCTTTCTCGCCTTCTCTTTGAAGCCGCGATCGTTTCTTTTCAAGTTATGAGCGACGGGTGGAAAAAAAGAGCATCCACGTCTCTCTCGTTTTAAATTACTCCGTGACGCCGTTTGACGTACCATGTACGTTTCGGCAAAATTACGGAGGGACCAGATCGTTTTCTCGCTTTCAACGTAATCTCCCGGTAAATCCCAAATGTCCCATGGGGCAGGAGGGGGGGGGGAAGCGGCTGCAACTGCGTGTTAACCAGACTTTTCTTGTAATCGAGAACCCGCCTTGCGGAGGGTTACGGCCCCGCGGGAGGGCACGCCTAGTTAAATATTCTACGCGAGTTGAATCATTATTAAATCGAATCTCTCGCGGGTCGGATCCTCATTTTCTTTTTTTTTTTGCGCGCGGTGCATAAATCAGTCCTGCATATTGTTAATTAACGGGTATCGAGCGGCGGAACGTGCATTATGCGCTCTTGCGCGCCGAACGTACACGGAAGACTGGCGATTCCACGTGCATTAGCATATTAAAATGTGCCGCTCGCAAGATCGTTGTTTAATTGGATAATTTGCCTTCCTGTTTTTTTTTCCGTTTTTTTTACGCAGTAGCAGTTTACACACTTTACTCTGTCCCGTCGCGTGTGTACATTAGACCGTTGCGATTGATGTGCCGCGGCGCGTTCAACGCTTTTCCTCTCTCGAATGACATACTCCCGATCGATTTCAAACAGTCCCCGTATTTGAAGAAGCTCGTCTCACAAACAGAAATCCCTTAATTTGGAATGTGGAGCTTTGTGGCGCGAAATAAACGGGCACGAACGTGCAAACTGCCCCTTAAAAGTGAAGCTCCCGCAGACACGACGTTGCCGTGAAAGTGACCGCTGGCCGAAACGCTGCGCGCCGCGATTCGATTTACTGATAATAATGCATGTCGATCGACGGAAAGGTGTTGCAATTAATTACACGAGAGAACTCCCGTTCCGCGCGAGTTTCGCGCGTCATTTCTGTACATTTTGACATTTTATTTAAACAAGGAAATAACATTGGAACGTGTAAATAAAAAAAATAAAATCAGATGATATTTTTGCGGTATCTCGTGCGCAAACAGAAATTGAAATTGTTCTCTCATTTGATATTTACGCTCGCAGCGTGGTTACACGTGGTACACGTGTCGACCGGAAAATATGTGGAAAGTTTTTTCCGTTTATTTCGGAAAGTTGCACGGCGAGCCCCGTGAGATAAAAAGTGTCACGAAAATTGTCACCGCGAGCCCGCACTTAGCCGGCCCCGCGAATGAGGTTACGTGAAAACGGAATTTATCATTGGTCGCGACGTCTTTAACGCTGCTCCATTAATAGAACATCTAAATCGGGCCGGTGAAATGTTTCGCCTTTTGTCGCAAGCATAGACGCGCCGTGAGACGTAACAGCTCTTTGTATTTAAATGCGCCGCGTCGAACGTAATTCCACGTTACAATGACAATAAATACATTATTCACATTGTTGTGTAGATTATCCGTAAAGTTGGGTGCACAGGTGTGTGTCTGAGCGCTGAACGCGGTTTCTTTAACCCGGCGTTGGAGTATGACAAGTCCCTGATGCTATAAGCGTACACTGAAAAAAATTTCTGGTTGAATATGGACGAATCAGATAATTCCTTTAGTATTTACCAGAATTCCTTTAGGATTTACCAGAATTCCTGTAATCCTACAGAAATTCTGGTAAATCCTAAAGGAATTCTGGTAAATCCTAAAGGAATTATCTGATTCGTCCATATTCAACCAGAAATTTTTTTCAGTGTAGTAACATTATTTTCACAATCGCTAGAAACAGCGGAAAAGAGCGAAGTTTATCGCGAGACAATTTTCTCAAGACAAATGAAAACGCCTTGCGCGGTCGTGCTTGATTTTGATGCTCAATATATTTGTTTTGCGAATACATTTTCTTCAAAACAGCAAATTTTCTTAATTACATGAAATTTTGGCAATTTCGTTGGTGTCAAAGTCAATTTAAAATATTTTAATACGTTTTAAACGTTTCATGCTATTAAATTCCGATATTAGCGGAGGTGTTCAATAGATTCCAGCTCAATGATTACGCTATTTTTATCTTAGTAACGTCAGGTTAAACAGTGATCGTGGATAAAATTTTTTATCACAAGAGATTCCGCCAGAAGAGGTTCGCAGTAATTGAATATTTCAAATTTAAAAATAATGGTATATAGAGGAAAGTCCCCTAATATATGATAGGGTTTCTGCAAAATTATTATAATAGGCATCATCTGTTGGCTACACCGTGAATTTATTGCCCTTGGAGTGAAATCTGTTTAGTAAAAAATTGATTGTTAGATCGTGTAGTCGTTGCGAAAAAAAGATTCGTGATTGAATTTGGACGTTGAAAACCTACTGTCTCATATTAGGGGACTCTCCTCTACTTATTTTGCTTCAAGATTGTGGAAAACGTTTATCTCGTATAGCCCGTTGTAGCCACGCTTTGTTACATTTTTGCAATTAAAATGCAACAAGTATATAAACAGAAATAGGAAAAAAAAGAGGACGCTGGGAAGATGAAACGCAGAAAAAGTTGAGCAGCGGGAAGAAATCATACGATGTAATATAGAAATTCGCGCGGGGCACAAAGCACTTTTACAGACAATATTGTCGCGTCGCGGAAATGGCTGTTGTAAATTAGAATCGTGGCAATACATAATAATCAAAGCCATAACAGAAATCACCTGTGGACCGATTGCGTCCGCGGCGCGAATAAATTTCCATCTCGAATTTACATCGGGATATAATTGACGTTTAAAATCCGAATAATTGCGACGCCGCGGAAAAACATTTTATCATTCATTTTTATTCATTCACCGATCACCGAGGGGACCAAGTTACTTTCGCGAACGAATTTTGACGCTGGGCTCTTTTTGCCGGCCGGAGAGGGGGAGGGATACGTCGTGAAAAATGCCGTAGACGTCGCGCCGTACACGTATCGCGGTTGAATCGAAGCGCGAGTCGGGAGAGAGTCGCGGGACCTGAAATTTCCAGCAGCTTCCACCTTGGGTGCCACGCCCTAGTTAGCCCGCTGGCAAGAATATCACGCAAAGAGATGAATTTTTGAAGGGGGGGGATGCACTCGGGCGTACCGACGCGGAAATGGCTCCCGTCGCGCGGGATAGACGGCGCGAGGGTATACGGCGTATAACAATGTTATACGCGGCAGGGGCGAAATTTTCGAAGCCGTGCTTACG